ATGCAATTATTTCATGATTTTCTCGACGTAGATATCGCAGCCAGTGCATCTGATCTTATAAACCAGGTTCATTTATTGTCCTTTCTGGTCGAAATTTCAGATAGATCCTGAAGAAATGACCATTCTGTAGTAAATTCGAATACTTTAATTCCGAGGGTACTGTTTGATTCAGTTAGACAGTTTGGAAATACGGCAGATGACTACAGTGGAGTTAACTTCATTGTTGGACTCATATCTTAACATTAAGAATGGGCTTCAATAATAAATTTCTTGTAAGAATTTTTTTCTGTAGCCAATTGTAAGTATAAACTTTTTTATGTATTTTCCATTTTTATGTATAAATAAGCCTATGGATCGCGGCATACTTACAGGTGTTCAAATAGGCCTTCATTCCGCCCTGTCTAGTGAGGTGATTTGGCGTCCATGCACTGCAGGTGCTCAAATACTATGGAGCCGAGCCCTGCTTAAATGGACCCCTAGGCGACTAGAAGCAGGAAGACGGTGCTTACGCCGTTTTAACCCGGTATCAAAGGTAAAAAGTATTAAAAAATTTCTGTTTAGTTTCTGTTTCAATCTGTAGTGCGAATCCAAATGGAGACCTGAGTCGCCTGTTATATTTGTTAAAATTCATGCATAAACTCAAGCTTTGGGTGTAATTGTCTGCTAGAACTTTAACATTCTCGATGAAAGGGGAAAGTCGAACAGTTTTCGCTTTAACCCTTCGTTCTTAACCAGAATATCGAAACAGCTGAGCTGATATGACCTTTACCATGGCATATATAACCTTATGGATATTTCAAAGGTGGTCTTGAAATTTTAAACATATACATAAACCCGTAATTGTTATATCACCATTTTAAATGCGTAAATTGCGAACATCTTATGAAATCCCCTGAGGGGGGCTTCCTTTCTGGCAGAAGCCAAACCGTCAGAATAAACAGCCGGTAGCGTCTAAGCCATCTTTCTTGAAGGAATGAACAAAAATGAAAAAAGACTTTTACCAGTAACTTGCTGATTGCATTATTGTTAAATCCTCATAGCAAACTAAGTCTCAAACATCAACCTCTGCATTTTTCTCATTTCACTAACCTAGTCATTGCGTTTCAGTCGGCTAAACTATTACACGCCAAGTGAATCGCACCTCATTCATCCCAGACAGCCATTTAAACGTTATGACATCCACTGCTCGGCATCCATGGCATTGCCATACTTCCTCATACATATCAGTATATTTATATACGTAGCCCATCATATGCCTCTGTCTGCAGCTTGCACGGTAATTTTGAAAATTACTGAAAAGTACTTGAATAACAGTGCAATTTATTGTCTAATTTAGATTATTATTACTTTAACATAAATATGGATTTCACTGTGCTTTATCATAAGAAAATTAAAACAGGTACTTCATAGTATTTTTAAGGTAAATGAATTCTGCAAGTCACAGTGAATATCGTGTCATAGTTTACTTCTGATCCGAGATAAGAAACGGCATCAATTAGCACAAAAATAGTTTAATAATTAACTTACGTAGCTGGTAACAACCCAAAGAAACTTCACGTCCAACGATAAGAGAAACTTCTTAACTTTTACTTTAAATATTTACACAAGACAATGCCCGTTCTAATGGAGCCAGGTTCCGGCCGGACCTTCCAACTTTCATGAATAAAGCACCAATGACTGAGTTTCATCAAACGACTTATGAAGGCCGGAAACTCTGGTTGAAACCTGGTTAGATCAAAAAAAGAATTTGTCGTGCTCAAATGTGTCAAGTAAAAGTTTTCATGACTGCTTACTCTGCAGAACTTGAAATGACATGCCTTTTTAATGGCTACCTGGTAAAAAACGATATACCTATGTTCTTCCTACTTAATTTGAAGCTTCATTCCATATACAACGAAAATTAGTATATCATCCTGGAAAGGATCATATGCGAGTTCGTAATGGACTCAGAATTTTATCAAGATTAAATTAAGCATTAAAAACTTCAAGCCAGAACTATTCAACTGAGAGGCATAAAATAAACAGATCTAAACTGTAAAACAGCTTACCGCTGAACCGGACTTGGCATAAAACTGCAGAATGTCGTTAGTGCTTTCGGGGGTTTTGTTTACTCGATAAACGGAGTCGTCCAGTTTCACGAACTCCGTCAACTCCACCTATAAAACTCGAATGAACATAAGACGCGAATACATTATTAACGAAATTTAGCCATATGTTATTGGTGAAACGGGAAAATGCTTCAACGCATTGGGGATTAGAAGTGCGATCAACGGCATCCGTAGTCACGCCAGGTCGCATCGCCGTTGGCAACTCTTACACTTTTTTCTACGACTCTTAGAGAGCCGAATCAGCAGAAAAAATTTATATGCATAGCCTCAGGTGGCGACAGAATAATAAGAAGAATCTTAATCCTCATCACCGCGCTGATCGTTCAAAATTCCATAGTCCTAGCGTTTCATTGACAAAAATCGAACTATGTCATGTTGGTACCTTGCGGTCTCATCCACCGTTTCCTGCTCCTTTCTTGCAAGTGAGGAAATGTTAGAATTTCAAAACATAGCATCGTTTCTGTGGAGCCTAGTCTTAAGTGCCACGGCGCATCATGCTTTCTGAGTTTCTTATTCAGAACGAGTAATGACTCCGCTACTGACTGGTAACTTGGCAATTTTTTGCTTAGATCCTCAGCAACCAACGCCCTAAATGGCCGGAAGTCGAGAAGCATGTTATAATTTCGGTAGAGTTCAGTCCAATTCATGCTTTAAGCAGCTTACCTCAGCACTCTAACAGACGTGCGGTCATCCGCAAAACATCGATAAAACCATTCACATAAGGGAGAGGTAGCTAATTTTATGAGAGGAAGGAAAGGTATGAAAGTTTGTAACCGATGGAATGTCTTCGGTCTTCATTTTCGTGAAGGGACATTGTCTGGCGCCTTTCTTTTCATGAAGTCAATGTTGGGGCGCTGATTTCTGTTTCCATGCCATCAGCCAGGAGTGTCATATTTTAAAAGTAGTGACCGCAGCATCTACGTGGTAAACATGGTGTCTAGTTTCTTGTTTGTTTCCCATAGAGTGGTACTCATTCATCAGCCTCCAGTCGCTAGGGCGCTGAGCAGGGCTTAAACTCAGGAACTCACGATTCCAGCTCAACGCCCTAGCGACTGAACAACCACCATCCATGTTGCTAGCTATGCCTCTGTCAAAGCAAGGCAATGAAAGAAGAAATTTATACCACCTGGTGCTGCAGCTCTGCCGAAACCATGGTTTCTTAATTGTTCTGGGTGATTTTAATGCCGAAGTGGTAACAGAAAATAAGCTGTATAAATACATGAGTTCAAGCGGCATTGCCGGGCTGAATAACGGTGAAAGGCTAGCAGGACTTTGTCAGACACACGATCGACTTACTGATGGTTTACTCAATATTCAGTAAATATGATCACACGGTAAAAGGTTCTCCTTTCATGCAACAATACTAAACCAAACTTGACTAGGCCCTTGTTTTCATTACCCTAAGTCATCGGGCATGTTTACAAGAAGTCTTGGTACACAAAACGCTGAATATGGCAACGACAATGAGCTGCTGATTGGTAACTTTCAAGTCAAATAGCGGCAGTAGTCAAAAAATATACCGCGAAGTTTGAATTCGACAAGTTCAAATGCCCGAAATTATCCCAAGCATATCAGATCACCATAAAGTCTCTAATTAATTATACAGGTGATATATCTTTGGAAGATGCTTGAAACATATGCACAGAAGCAGCAGTAACAACGGCAGAAGAACAAATGGGAGGAGAGAATCGCGAAGAAAATCATGCATGTTTACAAACAAAACGACGGCAAGAAAACAGGAGGCTTACTATGATTCATAACAACCAATTTGTTAGAACAAATGCACAGAAAAATTTAAAATTATTAAGGAAAGATAAAGCATTTCTCTGGAAAAGGCTAACTCAAATAATGGAAGATTCGGTTAGGTGAAACGATACAAAAAAGTGCCGTGATTGTGATCGGTCAGGATCAGGAAATAAAATTTTAAATATACCATCTGCCTTAACACGGTTTGTAATTGACCTGATCGATAGAATATTCGACTCATTTTAATGAGATAACTAAATTAATCAGGCTCCGTTTCGTGTGGCAGCTAAGCGAAGCGAATCCTTGATTAGCGGCTTCATTTTGTCACATAAATCATGATAACTTACCAGGGTATCAGCCATTAATCTCCTCCTACTAATACTGATTGTTACTTGTAATTATTAGGTCTTACCGGTCGAAAGGAGGTGTTGAACAATTCCGCTTTAAGGTAGGTTTGTAATTCTGTCATGTTGCTCAACGTAGCACTGATTCCGATCAGTTGACATTGCGCTAAAGAATACGTGATAAAAAAATGCAGCACTACGCGGTTTACTCACGGGCAGCATATAACAACGTGGAGAGCATCTGTTCGACGGTGGACCCCCGACTACCACCTTCGCCGATCATGTGAACCTAAAACAACGTCACAGCTCAAGCTGAAGCTCATCAAACAACATAAGCAGATGAACGAATAAAACTATTAGATGTCTCTTTGAGAAAAATTTCAAACATTTACTTCGTCCACAATCGCAAGACCTAGATCTTCGATTCGCTTTGACTCTATGAGACTCTGTATAAGACTTTGAGCCTTTTCGATCGTGGCTACGAACACGGACTTCTTTCGTCGCCGTTTGATAGGTGGAATACGACCTTTGCTAGCCGCATATTCCTCGACTAAGAATTCCAATTCTAGTCCAAGTGGAACGAGGGCTTTCACCTTCAATGAAAGAAAATATTCTGGATGAGAGTACCGTTGAATACTGCACATAGTACTGAATATTATTTTAATTTACATGTTGCACTTTACACTAATTATATCCTTTGACTATACTCGCCTGTGACGCGAATCAAGGTGAAAGCGCATCATTAATTACGCAAAAAAGATCTCAACTTTTATTACAGACAGGCCATCAAGCCTCACCTATTTTTCAGCAATGCTGCGATATATGCAGACTGAAAACAATCAAACGAGGGCAGATGCGTAAGAGACGGGCCCAAAATAATTTTAATTGGAGTAATCAATATCAAAGATCATAAGGAAAGAAACAGTTGCTTATTTAGGGCAATGAAACAAATGTAGTCATAAAAACGAATGGCGAACTCTACAACTGAAGTCAATGGTAAACGTTGACAAAATTACACTGTAAGCGAGGATAGTCATTAGATGCTAACCTTCTCAAAGTAATTATTAACTGAAGTAATTGCGAATTCCTGCAAACGGATGAAAAAGTATTATTTCAGTTTTTCTTCACTTCAACCATATTTGGAGAGGGCAATTACTGTTAGTCAGTTAGCAGAGCACCGCACTGCCAGTCAAAACGTAGGGGCTCAATTTTTACTCGATCCTTTTGACAGATATAAGTAACTGTTATCGTCATGATACGGAAGGAGGAAACCTAACCTCTGTTTGTCACTACAGAAGATACTGTCTTCGTTGATAAGATATACTTGATCGCTGACGAGTAAATCGAATTGTTCAACCATAAACTCCACGGAAGAACATGGTATTTATTATAACACAGTAAGAAGAACTGGAATCCGAAAAGCTGCAAGGTGTAATTCGTTCTGTACTCAGTTGCTTGATCGTTTACCATAATGCATATTTATTTAATGTAAACTTACTTATCTACGTACCTCCTTGGTTTAGTGAGCTTAGCTGGGACCATTCTAGCTCGCGCCCATGGAGAGCGACCCTCAGAAATGGAGTTAGCAACCGTTGACAAATATCATTTGTTGCTATCGGGACGTGGTTGTGCATAGTGCGGAAAACCCATCACCTGTAAAATGGCCTTATATAAGCCTATAAAGACTCGGTGACGAGACAAGAATGAGCCACCATTAATAGGGCCACCAATGTGTTTCCCACTTTTTTCTGGCTACATCTTGGAACATCCAGTGCTTGATAATAACTAAGCAGCAGTGGGGGACTGTCTATATCAACCAACCTAATGCAGCCTCGTGAAAATTAGTCTTAACGGTCGGCAGCTATCCGGGACGTTAGTGGAACCGGCAATACCAGTGGCGGTGACAGCAGAAACAACTTCTACTATCTTCTACTCAGTTACTAACTTTGTCACTGACTCACGCAATTAATATGTTACTTAAGTACTTACAATCTTACTCAGTTGCTTATTTACTTACTTCTATCTCATACCCGCCTACTTACTTCTGGAACTCACATCAACATTATGGATATGGTGATCAGAAGTCACTATATTTTTTAATTCCATAGTTATGAACAGGAAAACAATTTCATGCTAATTGTAGAATTACAACATTTCATTGCATTTCTTTGTCATTACTAACTTCCACTTTCGAAAACTCTTTTTCATAATATATCAGCTGAATGCAATTTAGAAATAAATGACTTTGCTCCAAAAGTCATTAATTTGTTGTAAGATGATTCTTCAAACCGTTACTCAACAACTTATTTACATACCTCAAACGTACTTAGTTACTTTACTGACTTCTTAATGTACGCCATCCCTCCTTACTTATAGACTGACACACCTAACTGCTGTCTTACATATTCCTTCCTTATTTACTTAGTTAATTGCTTTTTGTCTACTTAGTTAAAGCCGTTACGACTAGAAAGCGATACCTTTACTGATTCCATAGTCAGTCCAAAGAATCAGAAGATATTCTCGCTTTTAATAACGAACTTATTCCCAAAACTGTTTGTTTACATTATAATTAATGTATTTATCTGCCTTATTCAAAAAACCGCATAAAAAGCGGTTTATTCATACACAACGCAAACAAATTCTTCAACCGGTGATTAATCAATATCGACGTTTCGGCTCTTGTCTCAGGACCTTCTTTAAGGTGGAGAGAGTTGATTTCTGCAGTTCGTTCTGTGGTCCGCAGTTTGTTGTAACGACTGAAGCCAAAAGGTGTGCTTTTAGCAGCATGAGCCAAAACGCACGAACGAAGCACTCAATCTTCTGTACATTGTTCGCTTCAGTCTTTCGTTTCCTCCAACTATCACTTTAGCTCCGCTCGCTTCTACTAGTCCTTTGCCCTCACCGTTCAGCACTACGTTATTTGCATAGAACATGAAGTGCGGGGCAGGGGCTGCTTCATGCAGATCTTTAGTTAACGCATCTGTCGACATCGTTTACCAATATTTCAAATCAACCTTTGTTCATGCTCACATTCGACGTAGAGTTCAGTCAGCTTATAACTTCGAAGCTTATTGGTTGAGTGGCTGATTAAAAATAAATATTCCAACGGACGTAAACGCCATTATACCTTTTCTTGAACTATAGATACAAACGGAAGAACGAAAATGACGTCCTTGCGGGCACACAGAAGTTGCTTCAGTATCAGAATTTCGGCCAGCAGTGTTTTGCCTCCGCCGGTCGGCGTATGAATGAGGAGGTTGTTGCCATCGCGAACCGCCGAATGATTCAGACAATCGACTTGCCATTCTTAAACATTCTTTTATAAACTTAAAACGAAATGTGCAGTAAAACGGGCAATGATGCGTTTACCGTACAACTCATCGATGCCTCGCGACTTGCGGAAAATGTCCCTGACTTTTGCAGGAAGTCCGTAGAACCTGTCCTGACATTCTTCTTTGACGCGATTAGCGTTTTCAGTAAAACGATCCGACAATCTGGCAGAGAGCGAGGTGCATAATCTGGGAGATTTGCTCGCTGTGAATATTGGCGAGCTGGGTCGCTTGCCGTCAGATCTTTCACTTCGGCTGGAATCAGGGTTACAACATGGATCTTCGCCGTCTTCCACTGTCTCTTCGGTCCGTCGATCGCGCTATAACATAAAACGTAAGAGTGAAAACGGCATTCAATGTATACATAGATCGATATGTCCGATCTGACAGAAATTAAAACCAATAAAATATACAGAGTGAGCAAAACTTATCAGCAGCAATAGGTAAAACGAACATAAAATTCTCATGCAAAGCCCTAATGAAATTTATCTTTATTGCTTATTTAGTAAACTTGCTTGCTTAATGACTTGCATACTTATGTACCAAGTATTTGCCTTAAAAATCTGTAACAAATTTACCCATCCAAAAAGGTACAACAAACATCTTATACGTTCATATTTATATCCAGCTGAAATGCAACTTACCAGGTTATCGGGTTTGCTCAGACGGTACTTACGAAGCTCGACAATGTGTGTTTGCAATAAAAGAGGCGCAGATCGCTACCTTGTTGTTGGCATGCTACGCTGTGAGAAAGGGAGTATCATACGACGAACTAGTGGTATAAGCAAAAATACGACTGCATTCAAGAGGTGGCTTGGAAGCAGTCCATCTTGAACTTGAATGCGCTACGAAAAAGCGCACAAGGTGGCAAGGAAAGCTGATTTCCGGAAGAAGTTCCAAGAAGTGTTGGAGACGAATTTCCAGACGGCAAACAGAATATTCTGGCAGACCATCCGCCACCTCCGAGATGGGAATATGGAAAGTCTAAGTGTGCTGAAATCTTGACTCACAAACCACAAGTCTTGATGACCTATTACGAGGGATTAGGACATGCTTCATGCTTCAGCGACGGACAGAGTACTTTGAGTAACTCTCTATCCCCGAGCAACTGCAGGAAAACTAATCTGAAAAGCAGTAGGCAACGAACATTAATCTTTCAGTAGATCAAGTGACAGAAGGTATAAAAATGTGCAAAAGTGAAAAGGCCGCTGGAAATCCGCCTTGAAATGCTTAAAGCATTTGGCGAACAAGGCATCGTATGGGTAATACTACACAGAACAACACTGCAATGAAGAAGCACTGAAAGCATCCGGTGTACCGGAAAAGTGAAGCGGCGATAGCCCTTTACAGAAAGGGGGACCATAGCGACTGCTCCAATTATCGAGGTATCATCTCACTAAGACTTCCGAAAAAAAGTCTACACAAACGTATTAGAAAGCAGGGGCCGTGGAACAGCTCACTTTAAAATCCACGAAAAGCAACGTTGCTTCATATTAGGCTGAAGCACGTCATACCAGATCATTGTCTTGAACAGGAATGTTGAGAAATCAAGGGACCAGATCCGTTTTACATGTGCTTTCAGGACCTGGTGCAGGAAGCTGTGAGCGTGTCTGCAAACATATGGGATCGATGGGCGGTTGTTACGGCCCATCTAATCACCATGTGCTATTAGTAGGTGCTGCGCTGTACCGTAAGGATAGTGATGACGGCTCATAGAGGCCCTACTGAACAACAGTTAAATACTTCGGAGCGTACACACTAACTATGTATAAGGTCGCTTAGTAAAGATGTTTCGTTTTGCGCAGTCACAAACCATTTCTGTAACAAAATGTTACAGATACTTATGAGTTTAAATATAGCATCGTGTAACATTGCTAAACAGTTAAAAATTTGCTTCGGAATGAGGGAATTTTCCAAGACACGTTTACGTCGTTGCCTCCAATTCACGAACTTGAATTGTGAATGATATACTGTGACCGATTTTCGTGCCATTTTGAAGCGTTGTTATTTTCCTTACTGACATGTCTGGTTGTAATATGTGAAGATTGACATGTCTGAAAGATAACTTCCTTAAATGATACAATCGTTATATGCTGGTTGACCAATAAACCTACGAAATTGACAGATAGAAGATAAAGTAAAGGTGCTTCGGACTTCCGTCATTTCAATACGGAACAGCAGACCAACCCGCGGCGCAATGCGGGCGACACAAACAGGTATATCACTGAATGATTTCATTCAAAAATATGTGTTAGTAGGACGTTTGATATATCGTACAATGACTTATTTCTGAAATATTATATTTTAGAAAGAAAATGACAGGCCAAAATTTAAATTAAGTTCCATTTGTTATTGAATAATCAATTCGCTTTACGAATATGAAGATAATTGCTTTATTAATGCATGATTAGGCGGAAATCATAAACCCTCTTACCAGAGGTGTTGCGCACGTTTGAGAAGAAACTTCCTCCAAAGCTAAAGCAAAGCTAACATCCGACAAATCGTACATCTACATCCGATGTGCATACTAAATAAAACTTCAAAACCGCGCACATAATCGCACTACAGAATTCAATTGTAGATGTAACTTGCAAATCGCTCAATTTCAACAGGTTTGGTTAACTGGAACTGAACACAGTTTATCAATTCTGCCTCTATTTACTCATTGCATTCTCTTTTAATGAAGTCATCCTTTGAGCATAAGAAAGCGAAATGAGACTTAAAGTTCATGTATCAAATGGAATAGTGTTATGTCATAATGGTGGCAGGGCATCCGGGACTAGTCATGCCGTCTGATACATTATGACACGGATTCAGATTTTAATAAGCAGAACTGATACATCGAAAGGACATATGTAAGCAAAACTGCTCCGAATTAACCTCTTAGACTGCACCTATTGACATCTCACAGAGGTCGGATGCTCTAGAACAACTCCAGAACTTTTCCCAAGAATCATCTTTCGCTTTGGATACTGCTTTCGCTGTTATTTTGCACCCTTTTTCACACTGTATTCGAAATGAAGCATCTATGCCATCAAACCATGTCATGACTGCAGCTTTAATTTTTCTTACAGTTAGTTCAGTCTGTCGTTCTTCCAAGAAGTTCGTTAGAGACCTCCAGGCGGCAAGCCAACTCTTTGAGCTGACTACGTATAACGTATTAAGAAAGCACGGGGATACTGTTTTGATATTTGTTGTAGTTAGAACGATTGTGCTGTATATATAGGTGGTTTGTCCATTTACCAAGACTGAAAAGTCCTGACTATATTCCGGACTGTTGGAGCGAGTTTACGGCATTTCACTTGAGCCTTCTATTACTAGTTTATGAAATTTGTTTCATGATTTAGATTAGCAAGCAAATTTATATTTACAATTTAGGAATTCTGACGGAATTGAATCAATATGTTGTGTTGTTCTTATTCTTGAAACATCTTTGCTTTTTTGTTCATTCTTTAGCTGATAGTATTGAAACGAGTTCGTAAAGAAATTAACACAATCCATCCTTTAGATCAGGGGCATATTTCTGATTGTATGGTAAAACGACTTAAGGTTCTGTTCTTAGTTCTTTCTGTAAATATCCATCTTTAATTATATTTGTTGAGTTGTTCGCATGTTCTTACATATGCTGCTCTTATTTTCTCTCGAATTGGCGCTGTTTTCATGCTCTCCACTGCTATTTTCTCCTATTCCACATTTGTTTGATTAAGGTGGCTGTTCTATCACATTTTTCGACCAGTTTTCTTCACTGCAGGCCATTTTCGTTTGTTATTCTGTCTTAACCTTGACTTAATTTTCTTCACGTTTATTTGTTCCTTGATTGCTGTGGCTGCTTTCTCTTCAAGTTTCCTGACCCTGTGTTTTATGATATGAGTGGTTTGCTATCTCAATATTTTTTACAATTCTGTCTTAATCTCATTTGCTCTTACCGTGCTGTTTCTCAAGTGTAGCCGTTTGTTTCAGACGACGACGCCTTCCATTGTAAGTAGTTTTGTCTCATCGCAAAGTTGCGTATCTCGAATTTTTGACTACACTCTTCTGTGTATGTGCATTTCTTGGTTTGATCTAGTCAGGTGGTTGCCGATCGCTTTCACGTTTTATTTTTCGTCGTAATAAGACTCTTTGCTGTCTTTTCTCGTGTATACCTCAATTTGCTTGCGTTCCTTCATCCATATAAAAGTATCTTGGTGTTCAGGCCCCAATTTTCTGCATTTTATAATAGGGCGTTTTCACTAATCCATATTTCAATCGTTGTGAACTACTGTTTTCGTAACCTGGCTAGTTGTTTTTCGTTTTAAGTGATATTCTTGTCAGATCTTTTGGATCTTGTCATCTGCTAGTAGTTTTTGCGTTCCCACGACGTGTTTCCTGATACAGCAAAACTTCAACAGCTCAGTGAAGCTACCGATGATCCAACGATCCTGTGTTGTCGCTCTCCGCGGTGTTGGATAGGTCGCTTGGTAGACATTAGAATAATTTTTTAATTAAGAGCGAATAGTCATTTCAATTATCAGACACCAGTTCCAAGTCTACAGAGATCTAGAGTCAATTTGCACCCTGCAACCCATTGGAATGATGTCACAAATTTCATTTCTGAAATTCAGTGTCAGAAAAATTTGAATGATGAGATACGACGATTAATTAGCAAATATGGCGGTGTCCTGCAACGCATAGGCTGGTCATGTTGTAACACTGAGATCGTAATACAGTGAGATAGCTGTAGCAGTAGATAGCATCAACTGCACTAGTGACACACTCCGAAAAACTTCGGCGAAAGTTGAAAATCATGGTAAAGAAACATCGGCTTCATAAGCAGATCAGACGAGAAAGGTTCAGCGCAGCACAATACAGAAAAATAATTTCAAATAGTGAGACAGCAGCAGATAATCTGAAAACAATTCGGTATATGGAGTGAAAGGAAGATTTTGGAAACACGAACAAAAGAGAATGTACTTATATGATTGTTTTCGCCTGTATAGCCGTTTACGGGATACAATTTCTACTGCATACCCTTTGTTCTGTTTTTGATTGTCTGTTTCGCAGTAATTCTACTTTATCGCATGTAACCGTAGTCTCGTGTGTTACACTCATAAATTCATTGTCTTCATTAGTCGATGAAAGAATTTTCTAAATAAACATTACATATCGCATAAGTCACTATAGTTGATATTCAGTCCAGATTACTTCATAATAACTGCATGTAAGTAAAACTTTATCAAATTAAATATGCATATGCGTACATGATATCGTTACTAAAAAGAAACAACAAAGCAAGGGTACGTTCGGCACATAGTAGTAAAATTTCAACAGTTATATCTACACA